CCCTGGAGGTGTCCCAGGAAGGCCTGGCCGTGGCACTCAGTGCTCCGGGCTGGGGGACAAGGTGATCTTGATCCGTGATCCTGAAGGTCTTTTTCAACCCCAGGGATCCTGGCATTCCATGTCTGAGGGTCTCCCAGCACTCCCTGTGTGGCTCAGCCCAGAGCCACGAGATGGCACCTGTGTGTCCCTGTGACTTCAGAAGGAAATGGCTCAGTTTGGGCAAACAAGTGAAGCTCCAGTGACTCTCCCCAGCCCCCCTTTGGCTGGGAAGCCTGGAGATGGAGCTGAGGTGGTGTCAGTGCTGCTGTGACACCCGCTCAGAGATGCAGGACCCCAGGGCTCCCCTCCCTCAGATCATTCTTCCCTCAAACACCCTGGCTGGAAACCACAAGCTCAGTGTTACAGTTACAGCTCAGAGCCCTTTCCCTCCCTTTCCTCCACGTGTTCATCCCAGCCCTCGGTAAATCCTGGAGCAGCACCTTGAGGGAAGCTGTGCCTCTCTCCCAGCTGCTTCCACCCACTGGAAAAGTGCAGGAGAGTGAGTGGGAAGGGAGAGGATGTGTCCTGAACTGATGTGGGCTGTGGAGAGATGGGAGGGAATGCAAAAGGGCTGGAATCTTGGAGAAAGAGGTGGGAAAACAGAATCTGAGACGGGCTAGAGCTGCTGTAAGGGGAAATGTGCCCGTTCTCAAGGACACCCGAGGGACTGGGCCTGGAAGGACACCCAGGAAGTGCCACAGCAGCATCTCAGCTGCTTGAGACACCAACTGGGGGTGAACATCCATGGTGTGGATCTGCTGGAGTTGGCTCCCAGGCCATTCCTGGCTGACTTCAGTGCAGGAGCAGGAGCAGAACCCTCTCTGACCTCCAGGTAAGTTGATGTCACAGGTAACACAACAGTCAGTTGTAATGTGATCCACCCAAGGCTGCTTCCCCAGCCTGAAATGCTCCCTCTGGGAGGAGGTTTTGGCCAGGGAAAACCACAGCTGGGGGCATTGGCCAGCCCCTGGCACTTGGGCCATTGCAAACCCCACTGTGTTTGTTCCATCTACATGTCAAGAAAACAATCACAGGGTCATTCAGGTTGGAAAAGCTCCCCAATCCACCCGTCCCCCCGTGCTCAGCACTGCCCCGTGTCCTCAGGACAGACACCCCCAGGGTGGGCCCCCGTTTCCTGGCCAAGGAACCTGCAGTTGGGGTGTTGTGGTGACTCAGAGCTGTGGTTTGCTCTGTGTCCTGCACCCACGTCTCTTGCTCAGCATTTACTCTGCTCTTGCCTCCCCACCACCCCCCAGGAAGTCTCTGGTCACAGCAACTCGTAACTATTTCCTCCAAGTATCAGCTTTGTAAAGCAAGAGACCTCTTGCCACCTCTGTGTTCAGCATCTCCAGCTAGATGTTTAAAAAATTAATTAAAAAAACCAATTATTCCACGTATTTACCACAAGAGTTTCCAAGCAGTGAAGTAGGAACTGCTTGACTTTGGTTAGTGATGGTTACAAGTGAGCGAGGCTGTTTTTACATCCGTGGGGAACTGGAGCTACAGTGATTTCCAGACTCCAAAGTTTTAGTGTCCCAAAAGTACTGAAATAAAGAGTGAATAATAATAATTATTATTATTATTATATTATTCTACATGCCATGATTCCAGCAGGATGGAATTGAGGACACCAGCTGGTGAGCAGTGAAATGCTCTCTGGTGGATCTGAAAAGTCACCGCTCATTTCTTTGACAGCAGATGAGAAAACCCTCCCAACCATCCCAAGCTGGAAAACGAAACACCTCCTTTTCCCCTCCTTTTTCCTCTTCTCTCCTCAATCCAGCTGAATTTTGCATGTAATTCCAGCTCCCTGGAGGTTAATAAAAACCAAGAGGTGCCTCTAAAGAAAAGTCTGAACTTGCAATGGCTGGATTTGCTTAAAAGTGCCACAGGTTTTGCTGTGGCTTCTGAGGGAGAGCCTTTGGCTCCCGTGGATGTGCCTTTCCAGGGAGTCTCCACCATGGGATGACCTTTCCAGCCATTTCTGGTTTCTCCCAACCTGGAAGTTTGATTCTGTGTCGGGCTTTTCCCCCTGCTGGGGTGCAGGACTCAAACTGAGCTCATGATGAATAAAGGCTGCTCTGCCAGGCAGAGGGAGCTGGGAGCTTGGACTGACAGGGAGCTGAACAGGAGCCAGAGTGTGCCCAGGGGGACAAAAGGGCCAGTGAATCCTGGCCTGGCTCAGGAACAGGGTGGCCAACAGGGCCAGGGAAGTGATTCTGCCCCTGGGCTGGGCGCTGGG